TTCTGTTTAAAAGTGGACAATGAAAAGGAAAACAATTCATAGCAAGTCGAAGGACACAGACCACTTCCACGAAGACGAATCAAAGGACTTTGAGATGAACGTATTTACTGTAGCTCTTGTTACGCTACTCTAACAGATAAAAAGCAGAATGGATACAGCTCAAAAATTAACAGGTGTGTTTTTGTTCATATGGTGCTCTCCATCTCCTTCTGGTTATGAAGAACCACTTAACCAAGAAAAGTGCAAAGTGTATTAGAAGAAAGAAAAAACAAAAAAGGCTGCCAAATCTCTTGGTAAATCATGTAAAAGAAAAGAAGTTACTTGAAGAAATCTGCCATTAAGATGCTCTCACACAATAAAGTACTTTTGGACAAAAAGAATCCTTTTCTTAAATTAATTTCCTCAACGGAATCTACCAGAATAGTCTTTAGTCAATATTTCTATCCATTTGCTTTTTGTTTCACATTTTCAAAACCATACCATTTTCATAACCATTTCAGTCAAAACTTGTTCTAATAAAAACCGAATTGCGATCAAGTATAACTGACAAACGCCTAATAATACTAATCTTATAGTGTTTAAACATGACCACACCAAGTACTTTTTCGTACAAAGATGTCATCTAGTTTTGCGATGTAGAAAATTTACAAAAAGAAGTTGGTGTGATCTGACTAGTCATCAAAATTAACATTTTATTGCTGACAATTTTATTCATTTTAATTTGTATTTAAATTTTCGTTTTATATATATCGTATTAACATATTATAACCAAGTTATAATACATTGTTTATAGCTATAACAAAGTTATAATATATAATAATATTGTTATTACCAAGTTCAGAAATCAATTGTTAAATATGTGACGAATTTAAATATAGAGCTATTGTTTTCATGAGGTATATATATATATATATATATATATATATATATATATATATATATATATATATATATATATATATATATATATATATATATATATATATATATATATATATATATATATATATATATATATATATATATATATATATATATATATATATATATATATATATATATAGGCCAATCTATCACCGATAGATGGTTGTCTTGAAACCACTGCTTGACTACTTTTGCATTGCGTTTCGGATCTATGTCTTGCTGAAAAACCCAATTTATTGGCATATTCCATTCAGCATGAGCTAACATAACATCTTTCAGGATATTTTTATACATGAAACAGTCCATTATTCCAACTTTTCGATGTATTGGACCTAGACCATTAGCAGAAAAACACCCCCAGACCATTAAATTGCCTCCACCATGCTTCATGGTCTTAGGGCAGTAACGTAAATTGAGACATTTTCCGGCCGGTCGATGTACAGGGCAAATGCCATCGCTCCCAATGATGATCACTGAACTGGACGGTTCGCCATTTCTGCACATTTTAGTCAATATGAGATGTAGCAAACACGAGTCTTTTCTTCTGGTTCTTTAGTGAAATCAGTGGTTTTTTTGCAGGACGTCGAGAAAACAATCCGGCTTCAACAGCACGTAGTCTGATTGTTTTGCCCGATACAGGCAGCTCTAATTGCTTTTGTATCTCGACTGATGATATCCAGGGATCCTTTTTGACGAATCTGACGATCAAAGAATCCTCTCTAGAAGTTGTGAAACGCGGTCTTCCACCTTTGTTATCTGCTGCCAACTTCCCCTTAGAACGATATTTGGAGTATAGTCTTGATACGGCACGCAATATTTATCGAAAATACTTTTTTGTGACATTCCACTTACGTAATCGCCAATAATTTTCTTTCTTAGTTCCAATCCAAGACTGCCGGGAGCCATTTTTGCACTTGAAGTCATAAAAATAATATAAATAAATAATCACGCTTCTCAAGGCTTACCGTGTTACATTTACCTTGTGATAATACAATTATGCACTGTGGAACACAACGCCTTGGTTGGACGCGGACTGTATTGATGCAATGAAATACTTTTGGTATTTCACTTCTTGTATTGATGTTCTTTGATAAAACACTTTGAGAAAACTCACTTGATAAACTGTCTTGATAATACTGACTGATTGACTTCCATATACTGACTGAATTACATGTCGGTTTACATATCTCTTATATAATAAAATGAACCTGTTCTAGAAGATTCTAGATGCTTTTTTTCGATGCTTCTGGAAGCTCCTGGATGCATCTGGATGCTTCTCAATGTTTTTGGATACTTCTGGATGCTTCCAGATGCTTCTTCTGGAAACTTCTGAAAGCTTCTGCATGCTCCTGGAAACTTCTGGATCCTTCCTTTAATTATTAAAAAACTTCCGTGACGTTGACACGGATCAGATTTGTGGCTTCACAGGAAATATTTTTTTTTTAGTAAAATAACTTAAATCAATTCTGAAATCAGTTTTATAAATTTAATTTAATGAAAATAGTAATAAAATATAAAAGTTTATTAAAAAAAAAAAAGAGGATTTTTTTTAATAAAAAACGCTCAAAAAAGCATATTTTATTTTAGTTTTCAAAACACGATTACTCCAGAACTAATTAAAACAACTTGGTACTTTGAAATATTATTTTCTGATATATAAGGTAGAGGATGAACTAAGATTATAATATAAAAACAAAAATATTTATTTTAAGTCCCAAAAAAACTGAAAATTGACTATTTTCTTGGGAGGTAAGGTTCAAAAAAAACTTAGAAATCGATAAATATTCATTCAATTATCAAGATTCTAGTTCATTCTCTACATATATATGTATTGAACAATTGGGGAAAATTTGGAGATCTAGGCATTTTTTAATGTTGAAATATCGTCTTTTGAGTTCATAATATTATTTAGTCCTTCGTTACAATTTTGAGTTAGCCCATGAAGACATTTTTTCAATAAATTTTTGTTGCTTAATTAAGTCTTTTTTGATAATTTTATAAATCCATTAAGGCAAGTTTAATTTAGGATAATAGTTTTTATCTGCATTTGCATTTTTACTTTTTTTGTAGCATTGGTACCTTGAGTTATGAGTTGTGTTATTTTTGAGTTTTTGTTTCATTATTGTTTATTTTACTTTGTTTTATTACAGTTTTATTATTGCGTACTAATTGAGTTATGTTAACTTGTTATCTTGAGTTGAGTTCAAGTATTTTTATAATTACCCATTGTATATTTCACTTATTAACCCTAAAAAAATATTTCAGGTAAACATTTTATCAACACAATTTGTGTTAGTATAATAGTATTGTCACAAGAAGTAAGTAATTAAATGATCGTGAGATAATGCAATTTCAATAAGTAAAACGGTTTTTTTTTGAAACTGAACATACAGTTATTGAAACTGAACATACAGTTACAGTAGTTAGCCTCTAAACTAAATCATTTATTATTGCAAAACACGAAAACATATAAAAACAGCGGTTAAACAAAAATTTTCATACTGCTTTTTTCTGTTGCTATGGGCGTTGCTAAGGAAGCTACTTCATATCATACTTGACAAAATGCAAATAGTAGCATATAAAATTTAAATTATTAAAAAATAGTTATACCATCATTTTCAGCAATGTTAAAATTCTCAAAAAATCAGATTTGATTTTTTTTTTTTTTTTTTTTGATTTTACACCTTTTATATCCTGTGAAGCCACCTTAAGAAAATGAAACAAACCAAAAAAGTTGCACTTGTTTGTCCGCTGTAAAATGGCACTTGTCAACAAAACTCTGTCTGCGTGCTGTCACCTGTCAGCTGATTGCTCATGTCATGGCATGCTATGACTCCAGACTCCTGAACTGTTTGCTGTGGTAGTATAGTTCGTTTTGTTTTTAAGACATGTAAAATTAGGAACACTTTTTAGCATTGTTCGATGTTGGTTGCAAATGTTTGTCCAATACTGTATATATATATATATATATATATATATATATATATATATATATATATATATATATATATATATATATATATATATATATATATAGATATATATATTGAATTTTAAAAAATCAGGCAATATTTAGTTCTCTAAAATAATCTAACTAAAAAAAAGTCAACAAATAAAACAAAAAGTTTATAAAAACTAAATAACGGTGAATAGAGCGTTATAAAACTCTTCAAAAAAATAGTTTTTTTTTAACATTTTAACATTTTTATCTTTTATTTATTTTTATTTTTTGTTATTTAGGTGCCCTAACAAGTCCTTACAGTCTTTTCACAGAGCACCGCGAAAGTGATCTAACTCTAAGCTGCGCATTATATTAATATGTTTGATGAATATATTTATATTCATATATTTGATACTAACTTTTGTCAAGTAAACACTTAAAGTATCTTTATGTAATCAGGAGTAGTTTTTTTATATTCTAATTCAAATTTAAACTATTATCTTCTATAATCTTTAAAAAGGTATGGACTTATTTATTTAAGAAAAAATGATTTAATAAATTTTGTTAAGATGCATTTAAAAAAAAAAAAAAAATAGGAAAATTAAATGTGAAAATTCAGAAAAAAATTTATTTAATAAACTAGTAAAACTAAATACAAAATTATGTAATTATAAAAAATCTTTCAACATTTTGGTATAAAATATAATACCTCATATATATATATATATATATATATATATATATATATATATATATATATATATATATATATATATATATATATATATATATATATATATATATATATATATATATATATATATATATATATATATATATATATATATATATATATATATATATATATATATATATATATATATATATATATATATATATATATATATATATATATATATATATATATATATATATATATATTTATATATATATATATATATATATATATATATATATATATATATATATATATATATATATATATATATATATGTATATGTATATATATATATATATATATATATAAATATATATATATATATATATATATATATATATATATATATATATATATATATATATATTTATGTTTGTATATATAAACATTTGTTTATAAAAAAATAAATATGTACATATATAAATAAAAAATATGTATTAAAAGCTGTATATTACTATTGATTTAATAAAAGTCCAAAATTTCTGAAAATTATATGAAATTATCTTAAAATGTATATATTAAAAATTAAAAAATATATTCTTATACGTTTATAATTGTCTTAAAATTAAAAAGTCTTTAGGATTCGCAAAACAAGACATCAGCAATTGTGTATGGTTTCCATATATTGTGTATGTCATCGTAGTAGTAAACCTTGGTGCAGTTTTTATCAATAGCAAACTCATCAGGACCATATATATCATAACTTAATGAATTTTCATTTTCTCTGATACCAGAGAATGCACACTTTTTTACGTTTAGATAATAACGAAAACCTTAAATAATAATAACTAAACTAATGAAGAGAACTAAGTATTTATGAAATGAAAAAATTAAAATAATTGTTTTTAAATAAATAATAAAATAAGTAAATACATAATTTGATTTAAAGATTAAAACTTTACCTTTCATATTTCCATTTTCGTTATCGTGCATTAATTTAGATGTTTTTTTTTTAAGTTTTGGGAGGTCAAATTCGATACCTGTAACACGTACAACCTATAAAAAATGTTAAATTCTTAAAAACGAAATAATATTTAGAAACTAACAAATTTTAAATTATTTCCAATAAATAAAATAATTAATAAATTTAATCATAAAAATTTATTGCAATATTTATCGCTGTGTATGGTATTTATCATACACAGATATGATATTTATCATACACATGAAACACATTTATCACTGAGTATGTGTATGTGTATGATGTAACTATAATATGTAATATCTTTAAATATCATGAAATCAAAATAATTGCATAAGTAATAGTAAAAACAGCAATTAAAGTAACAACAATAATAATAAGACGAACATTTTATTTTAAACAACTTTAAATTTTAATTAACTTTAACTTTAAACAACAAAAAAAATAACGAGGTTGAAAATAACGAGGTTGAAAATAACGAGGTTGAAAACAACGAGGTTGAAAATAACGAGGTTGGAAATAACGAGATTGAAAATAACGAGGTTAGGAGCAGTTAATAAACACTATCTCTAATAAAACCAGCAATAATAACTAAATTTATATATTAGTATAAAATCACAAATTATTTTAATAATACACTGTGTATCTATAAAGGCTCATCAAAAATATATATATATATATATATATATATATATATATATATATATATATATATATATATATATATATATATATATATATATATATATATATATATATATATATATGTATATATATATATGTGTGTGTGTGTGTGTGTGTGCTGGATGCTTGTAACAGCTACTAGTATAAATCCATTTTTACGAGAAATTAGCATTTTTATTATATAAACAAGTATATTTTACATGTTTGTACAATAAAATAATATCTTTTACATTGTATAAGATATTTGATAGGATTATTTCAGACATTATAAATAATACATGTATTATAATGTTAAAAATCAATTTATTTGACGAATTTCAGCAGATATCATTTTCAAACTTACGTAATACATGAAATAGTAGATTAATGCTGATACACAATAAAAATATCAGTGATATCAGACTAAGGGAGACTTGGAAGAACTTAATTTTTGTAGCTTTATATGTGGGTTAAGTGTCACTAATGATTTTGCAGAAAGAAATATTGGTCTTCTCCAAGAATATGTTGATACATTCCACAATGAAGATCAACGCCAGAATATATTGTTGGTTGTCCGAGAGCATAGAAAGCTTGTCTCAAATAAAATGCCACAGTCTCAACTCATGTTAAATAAATGATGTTAGAATATAATTGTATTGATTTTTTTTTAATCAGATTATTATCTTGAATAAAAACAATTTCAAAAAACATTTTCAAATTTAATTTTCTTCATAATCAAGTTAAAAATGTATCATTTTCACCATAATTCATAATTGGAATTAAAACTCAATTTTTACTTGTAGCTATTCCCAACACATTTAAAAGGAAATATTTTTGGAAGAGACTCTTTATATGTTGTATAATGGATAGGAAACCTTAGCATATTCAAAATCTAAAAAAAAAAAATCTTTGGCATTTTTGGGTCACCATAATAAATATATATATATATATATATATATATATATATATATATATATATATATATATATATATATATATATACACATATATATGTATATATATATATACATATATATGTATATATGTATATATATATATATATATATATATATATATATATATATATATATATATATATATATATATATATATATATATTTATATATATATATATATATATATATATATATATATATATATATATATAGGGGAGGCTGGGGAGAAGTGGGACATTTTTTTTTAAGCTTATTGCAATATCTTTTTTATTTGATGTATAAACTGAACCAAACAAGTTTTTACGAATAAACCTTATTTTTAGGCACTGATTCAATCGACTTAGGTTTCCAGCCAGTTATAACTAAGTATATAAATTTTTTCTTTTAAAGAAACTGTGCAATTGGGGTCAAGTGGGAGAAGTGTGAGTAAAAGTGGGACAACAAATTTAAAACAACATTTTAACACAAATTATTAAATAAAAACTGATAAAATCATAAAATCACCTTACCAACATAAAAATACTCAAGAGCTTTCACCAATTGAAATAATCAAAATGTGACGGGAAGAAGTGGGGCATAAATATTTATTTTTTCTGTCCCACTTCACCCCAATGAAAACACTTTTTTAAGGTACGTTTCAAAATTAGGACTTCTAGCACACACAAGGAAACAAAGTAATTTCTGCTAAATAGAGGGGAAGAAATTTAAATGTTTACATTAATTAACAGTATTTAGGTACCACTCCTAATTAGAAATTTCAGGCTGTCCCACTTCTTCTGCGTCCATCTTCTCCCCACTCTCCCCAATATATATGTTCGCAAGAAAGAGGAGGGGGGGGGAGAAAAAAAGTTATTAAAACATATACTAAACTCCATGAATATTTTTTTTTTAACTATTTAAAAATACTTTTAAGCAAAAAAGCTATTTAAAAAATCATTTCATCATACGATAACATGGTTTTAAAGTTGTAACGGTTGTAAAAACATGTTTTAATGTTTATTTAGTATGTGTAGCGTTAAAAGTCATATTGTAAAAACATTTTATTGGAACTTTGATAATGTTATAGTGCATTTTTTTAACATAATTTACATGGTTTTTAAAAATTATTATTTTTTTTTTTCTTACATCATTAATTGCATCGTTTATTATTTTTTTTTTTTTAATATTGCTTAAAGAGTTTCAAATGTCACTCTCGCAGAATTGCCCACATATATAGTATAAAACAACAGCATTAACAACAAACAAAAAATCAATCACCTAAAATTACACATTACACCTAAAACTAAATAAATAACAGTTAGAAATATAATAAACACAAACAACTATAACTTCAATTTTATTGATTTATAAAAAAAATCCTTGAAGATTCCCCCTAAAGTTTAAATAACTTATTTTTTACATTGTCTGTATTGATAAAACCATTGTTTCGCATGAAAAAAAACTTTGAAATTCCTTTCAATGATCCATAACTACAAACAGCATATCTTAGTTTTGAACCTGGCAAAAATACTTGTAAAAGCAGTGCACTAAACAATACAAACACCAATATCGTCACTGCAAAACAGATACATGTACCTAAGAAAAAAAAGTCAATATTTATAATGACATTTACATTAGTTTTACTGACAAAAAAAAAAGTAAAAATACCAAACGTTACAAGAGGAAGGAGAATGACCAAAAAGTCAAAATTAAATTATAAAATAAAAATATAAAAATTAATCGAAATCAATATGATAAGTAAGCATAAACTTGACATTAAAATAAAATAAAAAACCTAAAATAGTTTGAAAACATTAATTAATTATTCAAGTTTCTTAGTTGTCTCAAAACTTTTGATTAATAACTTCTGAGGATAATAGGAAAAAAAATCTTTAATGTATAAAATATCGATTATTATTTAACAATATTTCTCTGAATCTAATATACAAGTACAAGGAGTAGACTTTTTTGTGATGGAGATGGAGATGGATTATGATAAGAGGTGGAGATGGCTCCTAAACAAATAAATCTTTTTTATTTTTGCTTACTTTCTTTTCATATTTTTAAACTAACATTTGATTTTCTAAAACCTCAATAATTATTTTCAATTATGGTCTTAATTTTTCATTATAAAAAACAATGAGCAAAGTAATCTGAAAAAAATTAAACAAAGTAATATAACTTAAAAATGAGCATTACAACAGCGAGCTGTTTGAAAGTCAACCACCATCTTGGTTAACCCAAAACACTTTGTATTTTGCGCAACACTTCAAATTTAATTAGAAAACATTACAATAAAGGATTTAATAATATACCAGTTATGTTTTTCAGACTCTATAAAGAATCATATGCTAACTAATTGTCTGGTTTAATTCCAAAATATATATACCAAATTATGCTTTCCGATAATTTTATGTCAACATGCCATTAGTAGATAAAAGTAAAAGTATCTGCTTTTGGCGTGTAACATCATTTTTTATTTTCTTTATTTTTTAACTTTTTTAAAATAATAATTCACATCCTCACTCAGTGTAGTTAAGGCAATTTTTAAATTTTTCAAATTCTTCTATTTGGAATTAGCCTGTTGTCAGCATATTAATTTTTTTGCTTCAGGTTTTTATAATGTTTTAAGACACATTTCTCTTTTTTATACAATTTTTAAAACATTTTTACTATCCCTTATAATGAACTTAAACAACACCATTTTTGAGTCTTTAGATCAATTTTTCTTAACAGCATTAACTTGAATTAAGTTTAAATTTTTTGAAAAACTTTGTTAACCCATTACAAATCCTGTTCTGGTACATGTTAATTAAATATAGTTGTAAAAGTACAACATTTCTGTCAATTTTCACAAAAATATAAGAACTACGATTAAGAAAGAGCTTAAAATTATAATTAAAAACTGACAGTCTCTCCAATCTGGGTTTTTTTGCCACAAACATTTTGTTACAACAAAATTTAAAAACTTTTTTTCATAGAACTGATAATTTAATGAAAATATGTCATGGTCAGCAAAATATCATACAGATTATGTAGTATTTTAAAAATGTCTTAACTACACTGAGCTAGGCTACTATAGCCAAGGTTGCTACTTTATTTGCAGATTACCCTAAATTAACTTTATAACTTCAAAACATAAAACTTGGCCGCTGCACAGAGAAACAAGTTGAGGGCTATAATACCAGGGACGTGGTGGAGATTGAACTCAGAACTTCTTTCATATGAGGTGAGAGCTCTACCATTACACCACTACCGTTTTCTTTAAAGTTTGCTTTAAGTGAGCTTCTTTTTGGTTATGCAAGTATAAAAAATATGGCAACTAGAATTGTGTTTTTACATACTGATCATTGTCTAAATTTATACCTCTGTTTTTAGGTCCATATTTTTTATATAGAAGTTATTTGATTCTTGTACTTTACTTTCTAATTTATAAGGTTTCTAAAATTCACATGCAAAAATAGGCGTTAAAAATGAAGTTACCATTTGTTTGTAATTTAATATAATTAATTGTATGTAATTAAAGCTGAAGATGCTAGTATCAAAAATAAAACAATTTTGAAATGTGTTAATAACCAATATAATTAAAGTAGTGGTCAAACAAAATAACACTGCATATAAAATATTTATTTTTTTTATTGTTACTAATAAATTAGATACACTAAATTTAAGTTTAATATTTTTTAGCACTAGATGTCTTTCAAAAAATCATCAGTAGTGTTATTTATGTTATCAATATAATATTTTTTTTGTTTTTAAACAGGAAGTTCCTTAGTTTAATTTTTATAACTATTATGGTCAATTTTTGATTTGATTTTAAACAGGAAATTAAAAATGTCAATTAAAAGTCAATTAAAAGTCTCATGTTTTTGTTTGATTTTAAACAGGAAATGTCAATTAAAAGTCAATTAAAAGTCTCATGTTTTTGTTTGATTTTAAACAGGAAATGTCAATTAAAAGTCAATTAAAAGTCTCATGTTTTTGTTTGATTTTAAACAGGAAATGTCAATTAAAAGTCAATTAAAAGTCTCATGTTTTTGTTTGATTTTAAACAGGAAATGTCAATTGAAAGTCTCATGTTTTTGTTTGATTTTAAACAGGAAATGTCAATTGAAAGTCTCATGTTTTTGTTTGATTTTAAACAGGAAATGTCAATTGAAAGTCTCATGTTTTTGTTTGTGGAGATGTTTTTCATAGGAAATAAAATTTTTTTCATTTTTGAGTTCCAAAAAAACAGAAAGTTGGAAGAAAGGTTCTTTAAATGTATTATGTGCACGTTGGCAATTATAAACATGATTATCAAATCTATCTGTTGATTGTCTGGTTCTACAACTAGAAATATCTCCATTTGTACAAAGTCTTAAATTATTAGTTTTTCTGGTGTATGTAGTTTTTATATGGCAAGATAGACATTTTAAATAGTAAGTTACATTTTTACTATTGCAAGTTATATGACTCTTTATGTTCCATATGGAACCATTTGATGTTGTAAATGTTTTAACCTCTTGAAGGTAGAACCCAACTGTAAGACATGCGTAGTCAGGAGCAAAATCAGTACCCATTGCTGTTCCTGTAATTTGGTGATACATTTCGTCGTTAAACAGAAAATTATTGTTTTCTAAAATAAAAGATGCTGATTCTAATATAAATTCTCGAGTAAATCTTTCATCTATTATATCTTTATGTTTTGTAATAAAAAACTTTAAAGCTTCTATTCCTAATTTGTGTGGAATACTAGTATAGAGGTTAACAACGTCACATGTCAAAATACAACTTTCTCTCTCTAAATCTCTCGGTATCTTTCTTAAAAAATCCCAATCATCTTTAATGAATGTTTTTTGTTTTATAACAAACTGAGATAAAATTATGTGTAAAAACTGACTAAGGTGTGATGTTGGCGAGTTAATTCCTGCAATAATTGGTCTACCCTAGAGGTCTTCTGGTGGTTTCATTTCTATATATATAAAGTTTGATTTGTAAACTTTATCAATAATTTTCATGAACTGTTTTATATCGGAGTCAATGTGTAAAAAATGTTATATATTGACTCCGATATAAAACAGTTCACAAGAAAACTAATACTAAAAGAAAGATTTCACTGAACACAAAATACTGATACAAGCATAACTAAAAAAAGTTAAACTATAATATTAGATCAACTCAACCATTTTTAGGAGAATTCATTTCAAAAATTTAGCGAATTAAACCAATCAAAGTACAATCACTGGATAACATTACTCAACAAGATAGGATAATATATATTTTGATTTTTTCATTTATAAATATTTTCATGTTAAATAAACTAATCATGCACTTTACAGGTAAAGCTTTGTAAATAATTTTTTATAAAAAGTATAAAGGAATACATTTAAAATAATAAAGCAACAATTTATTCAAAATAAATGATACCAGATCATGAAGTACCCACCAACATAAACAATTTAAGAATATAAAAAAAGACAATATATTTTATATAAAAGAAAACAAAAAATAAAAAAGTATCTAAATAGATTTTGTCGATATCCTGTTTATAGAAAAATAATGGCAAAAAAACATTTTGAACAACTTTTAATTTTTGCAAAAACAGTAAAATCATACAATTTTTAGATTTTTTTTGAACATGCTTGACTGCTTCAAGTTTTTCTTCAAAGACATCTTTCAATTTCTGAAGACGCAAATCATGCAAACATTGACTCACCGATTCTAATACAGAAACACCTGCTTGAACCATACCTTCCTTTAAAAAAAGATTTAAATTATAATAATGAAAAGATTTATTAAGTAAACAAACAAAAAAATGATAAAAAAATGTGAAAAGCAGCTTGGTCTATTAAATTAATTTCTAAACATGCAAAATGCAATAATTAAGTAATACATTTTGCAATTAATTACGCACTTCAGATTCATTATCTACTTTTTGCGATGAGAAAGCATATCCAACAAGTGAAGCTCCTCTAAGCTCTTTTTCTGTAAGATGGTAACCACTAACTGCAAAACCAGGATGATTAGGAGACGCATACAAAGCATCATTAATGCAAACTGACCCTTTTACTTGAACAGGCACAACACCCATTAAACAGATTGTTTCACTGCGCC